CTCTGGTGGTGGTTTGGGATAAGTCCGGGGATTAGGTGGTGGTCCGGTCAAAATTTCAGGCCTCAGTCGTGGTATGGCAGAAGTCCGAACCTCAAGTGGTGGTCCGGCAGATGTTCGGGCCTCAAGTGTTGGTCTGGCAGGAGTGGGCCTCATGTGGTGGTCCGGCAGAAGTCCGGACCTCAGGTGGTGGTCCGACAGAACTCCGAGCCTCAGGTGGTGGTCCGGTAGAAGTCCGAGCCTCAAGTGGTGGTCCGGAAGAACTCCGGGTCTCAGGTGGTGGTTCGTCAGAACTCCGGACATCAGATGGTGGTCCCGCAGAACTCCGAGCCTAGGTGGTAATCTGGCATAACTCCGGGCCTCAGGTGGTGGTTCGGCGGAACTCCGGTCGATGGTCGAGGAGAAGCTAAGGGAAAGAGCGATCTCCGATCTCTCTCTTGCTCTCTTTCTTGGGGTCCCTTTTCAAGAGGAAGGATGTGTCTATTTATAGATTTCGTAGAATGGCATGGCATGTCAATAGGAAGATGATGAAGGGTAAATGGGAAGTGATTTTGATGGACGGCCGATGTTGAATCCCTTGATCGTGGACCGTTTGTTAGACATTTGAAGGTCTTGATGAAGTCGGAGTTCAGGGATCTTGGGTTCATTGGTTTTTTTTTTTTTTTGTCGTGCCGCTTGATTTTATTATAAGCATGTGATGTTTGGAAACCATTTTGTAAACTAAATTGTGGTTCAAACCTTACAACAGCCCTTTGGGTTCTTGATTTGGACCCATTTGAGCTCGGATTGAGTTGAATTTGGTGTCATTGGGTTTGCATTTCCGAGACGTTCAGTTCGACTATACGTTTGTTGAAATCAGAGTTTGGATGATCCCATATTTAATTTTGAAAGTTTTTTACTTGATTTTCCTCAAAATTCGTGACTAATCAAGATAAACTTTTTAGGATGTATCACATATAAATTTGAAAGAGAATTAATAAGATTTAGTTATTTTTACGAGACTCAATGCCAATGTTTTATTTGGAACAGTTTTCTTACTATTTTTATAACAATTTTTTAGTGCAAAATTTTGTAAAAGCGGCAAAAAAATAATGACCAAAAGTCATCCCAAACGAAACCTAGATTTACAGATTCCTATGAGTCAATTTATGTATCTTCATTAAAAACCCAAAAAGATATTTAATTACATCGCTCTTTGATTGCTAGCTTAATGGACCTCTGAAAAGCTTTTTATGAGTCACTTCAAACTTTACCGTTCATCATAAACTCTTTAGTCATCATCATTAATCTGGTAAATCTTACGTAATAGCTATTGAATTTTCTTATTGCAATTGTGAGTCATTTTTTAGGACAAATGGATCAATTTCTTATCTTTAAAAGATATTTAACCATTTCATAGCCAACAACTTCTTTCATTCGAACAAAAAAGAAAATAACTATAGGTTCTGCACCTGTGGGGCTGGTTGCTCATAGGCTCGCCGAGCGATTAGTTATGCCGCAAATCACGATGGCAACGGGTAGATTGCCCGGTTCAAAAAAGAAGAAGAAGAAGAAATATAATGCACGTAAATATAAGGAAAGTGAGGTATAAAGCCTATTTGGTGAGGCCCAAAGTTTATTTTGTGTGTTCAAATTGTTCTATGTTTTGTTGCGATATATGAATTAAAGTATATTCTTACATGAATATATGAGGTAGCTGCTCCTTGGATCATTAAATATCCATTTTGATAATCAATTGGAATTAGAGAGTTGGATTGGCTATTAAATCTATTGTTATGAAATATAGTATAGGAAGAATGAGGAAGGAGAAGGGTATTTTTTAGTCTTCGTTTGGAACAACTTTCTTACTACTTTCTAAAACAATTTTTTGGTTCAAAATTTCTCAATTCAAGAAATTTTTGTACCATTAAAATGTTTTAGAAAACAATCTCAAATGAAACATTAATCATCTTCTTATTTAGTAAATGATTTAATTAGGATCTATTTGAATAGTAATTGGAGTTTCTATTTAGCTCCTACTTTTATAAAATTTATGTGCTACGAAGTTCTTTTATACAAAAGCTTTTAAAAAAATCATTCTTCCCATAATAATTTAAAAAAATATTTGAAAAAAATTATAGCTGTTTCAAAGAGATTCTTAGTCATTAAAAAAAATTACTAACCTCAACCCTCTTATTTGGGAGCAATTATTATGTCAGGCCACCGATGTGTCCAGAGAGCAATAATCACGCGCCACATCACCTGAAATTCGGTATTAAGTACTCGGTATTGCTCGGTATACGTCCGGATTACCCGTTTTTTGTCCGGACGTAATAATTACTCCTTATTTGGAGTCACATTTATAGGCTTTAGGTAAAATTTTTATAGGAAAGAAAGTTATTTGATACTTAAGCTATTATCAAATATAGAATATCATCCTTTAGCATATTTAGAAGCTCGGCTGCACAAAGGGAAGAAGTCACATACTCATATTAGAGTAAGCGTGGCCAAATATTGATCTTAAACGCCCTCAATTTATAATTATACCCAGTTCTTATAAAAAAATATCTAATTTGACTTCTTGCTCTCATTCAATTGATTAATTAATTAAAATAAAAATCAATAATTTTTACATTCTCATCTACTTGTATTTTTTCTTATAAATTTGATGATTTTACTTTTTTCTAATAATTTTAAAAAATATATAATTTATATAAATTACTCCTTTTTTTAAATCAGAAAGAAAAAAAAAACCCAATGAATTACATATAATCATCAAATCAGAGAGCTGTACACATAATATTTTTTAAATATTTGTTAAAAATTATAATACAAAAAAAATTCGTAAACAAATTAGTTAAAAGCATGAGGTTTTGACTAAATGTGTTTGTAAGCTCCAGTTTCACGTGCGGCACGTGATCGTTGAGAAAAATACCACTAAGAAATCACCGATTGGCCACTGGCAAAGTGCCAGCCCAACCTTAATATTGGTGGTTTTATGTAAAAAAATGTCTCATTAGTCTTTGAGTTGCACCAAATTAGAATGTGGGTTGGCCCCACTCCAACTAATCTGAACAGGCCAAAGATTCGTTCCACTTTCTCTCTTTTTTTTTTAACAACATATTAATCTTTAATTATTGTATTAAAGATTTTGATTCATTAAAGCATATACGTGAAAAGGTTGGAGTAGCTCCAGTAGAAGATAAGATTAGAGATAATCGTCTTAGATGGTTTGGTCACATAAAACGGCGGCCTTCCAATGAGCCAGTTAGAGGTATTAGATTTGATTTATCTTAAGAAAGGTAGAGGCCGACCTAAAAGACTTGGTTAGAAAATATTATAAATGATCATTCTTTATTAGATTTAAACGAGAATTTGACCTTTAATAGGACACAATGGAGAAAAAAGATTCATGTAGCCGACCCCACGTAGTGGGATAAAGGCTTGATGTTGTTGTTGTTGTTGCGTAGGCCCCTATATGAGTTATATCAAAAAAAAAAAATCTAACTAGATTAATTCACCCGTGCTCGATTCCCCTCGAGTGGCAGCCTCTCTTAAGTGGGGCCCAATCAAGTGCAGGCCAAGCGGTTTTTGAGGTTGGTGCCTCTTCTAGGTCAGCCAAAGATTAGTTACACCGCTAAACACTCTTTTTGGGGTGGCAGCAGATGGATACTCTGTTCCAAAAAAAAAAAAAGTTACAAAATTAAAATAGGACTTTTAAATAATTAGCGATCATTTTAGTCTTTCGTAAATTGTCAGAGAACCATTTTGATCCTTATTTTAAAAAAAAAAATTATATCAAATACAAGACCATAAAATTATGCAAAAAACTTCATCAATATATAAATTTTGAAATTAAGAAATTTGTTTGAATAGACTTAAAAATCATTTTGAAGATGAATATTAAAAAAATAAATTTAATGGGGCATAAATGAAATCAATTTTTTTTTAAATTTTGAAAAAAAAAAAAAAAGCTCGAATCAAATTGGATACTAGCCTATATGGCTTCAGCCTGTCTCAACGTGCTTTCCAACTCTGTACACTAACCCCTTAATTTTATTTTTGCTGTAAACATTTATAAGCCTATTTGCAATGAATGCCTTATAAAAGCAATAGAGCTGCCGGTAACATTATTTTAAAAATAAAAAATAAAAAAAAGTATGGAGGTCTCAGTGATAGAAGTTATATCTCAAGTACACGAAACATTGCAGTTATATTCATAGGCCCATTGCATTGATGAGTAAGTCATCATGCACTCAGATTCATTGAAGGCCATCATAGTCCAGCACTTGAAAACAGGAAGTTCAATATTTCCTTTCTTAGCTTTGGTTTTATTTTATTCTTCAAAAAAATATTATATTTTTAAATTTTATTTTGCAAAAAAAATTTGAAAATTCAGCTTGAACGATTTTTTTTATTATTATTATTCATTCCGGGGTAATTTTACAAAGCAATTTCAAATCTTCATTTCTAAATAATTTCAAAATTCGACCCGTTTGCAAAAAAAGTGAGTCAGATTCGTGTCGGGTCAAACAATGTCAGGTCAGTTTCTGATTGGACCCGAACTTCACCCTAGACCCGATTTTTACAGCCCTAGAGGTAAGGAAACAGTATAGGGAAATAAAATAATTATAATATATTAATTATTGATTTTTTGTGATGTGTAAATTAAATTTATAAAAAGGAAAAAAAAGTGCAAAATGACAATTTCATGGTTGTTTTGTACAGGGCAGCGAGACGAGACGAATAGCCCTGTTATTATAAAGAGAGGGGAGGCCGCCCACAAACCACACGAGCGGTTTTCCTTGATCCTCTGCATGCGATCCCCAATGCTCTCAGGGGCAAAGCAATCAGTCTCAAAGTAAGCGAGGCAGAGAGAGAGAGAGGGAGAGGAGAGATAATCATGGAGGTTTCGTTTCCACCGAGGCTGTTTTTCTCTTGTTCTTCTGTTTCCCGAGACCAACTTGGGTTCTCTTAAGTCTTAACCCCTTTCATCTCCACTACTCGTCTTGATCTACTCTGAATGCTCTGTTTTAGCTTAAAGTTTTTCGAAGACCAAAGCAACTAGGAAGAAAAAAAATTTTCCATGGCCGGAGTATTTGGATGGTAGTTCCCTGAGAAACCATTTGGGAGAAGGTCGAAAGCTCCTTCCTTTTGTTGTAAGATTCAATAAAGATCTTTTTTTTTTTTTCGTGAAAAGTAGGATTGAAAGCCATGGAGTTCTCTCCTCCACCCCCGTCTCCTCTGTTTCCATCAGAGGGAGATGGGAAGGTGAATGAGACTGGCTTCCCACTGGAACAGCAACAGCAGCTGGTTCTTCCCGGTTGGGGACTTGAGGGTTTGAGTGGTGGATCAGGTTCTTATGGAAGTGAGAAGAATGGGCAGAGTGAAGAACTTGAAGGAGAACATGAAAGCGGGCAGTCCAAGCTCTGCGCTAGAGGCCATTGGAGGCCAGCGGAGGATGCCAAACTTAGGGAGCTTGTTGCCCAATATGGTCCACAGAACTGGAATCTTATTGCTGAAAATCTTGAAGGAAGATCAGGTAAAAACATTTCTTTTATGAGAGTTACCGTTTCTATTTCCCTTTTTTGTCTGCTACATTGTTTGAAAAACTTCTTTAGCAGAGTAAGGCTTGAAAAGTTTCTTAACATTTTCTCTACGCTTCTATTCTTCTATTCGATCAACATGGTCGCAGGGAAGAGCTGCAGGCTGCGATGGTTCAACCAGTTGGACCCAAGAATTAACAAGAAGGCCTTCACGGAGGAGGAAGAGGAAAGGCTTCTCTCAGCTCACCGACTGTATGGAAACAAATGGGCTCTCATAGCCAGGTTTTTCCCAGGGAGAACTGATAATGCTGTGAAGAATCACTGGCATGTGATCATAGCAAGGAGGCACAGGGAGCTTTCCAACGCACATAGAAGGAGAAAGCCCTCAAACTCCATTTCTTCTTCTTCAGCTATTGCATTTGATAAGGGCCTGCAGGTGCACTACTGTAACAATGCTTGCATTGTAGAATCCACCATCTCCAGCAATAGAGATGAGTCTTTGTCCACCGGCACTGACCTCTCCCTCAACTCATCTCCGTACAGAAGCTTTCCCGGTCATGGATTCTTCACCAGACATATTCATCAAAAGAAACCCCAGCAATTCCAGTATCTAACTGGTATGATCCTCCCTCTTTTCTGAAACTTAAAAAAGTTCCTTGCTTTGCTTCTATGGTTGACCTTCTTCATTAAATCCTCATTTCAGGATCTGATAAAAAAGTTGCGACTGGAGGATATGGATGTTCTCAGAGGCCATTTGATTCTGAAAGTTACTTTGATCATGTTCACCCCCTGGTTTTAGTACCAGGTACCGATCACTCCGGCTACTCTGATACAAATTCTGAAGCTTCAGCAACTGGTTCAGTGATCCATAAGAAAGGCAATGCCTTTATCCTTGAAGAGGGCGACAATGACAGGGAGAAGATGAGCTTGCCCTTCATTGATTTCCTTGGTGTTGGAGCCACATAGGGAGTTGTTGCTCTACCGCTGAAGCCCGAAGAAGATGTACAGTAAAATTAAGAAGATAAGACTTTCAGTAAACAAAGGGGAAGTGGGCAAGACGATAATTTGGGCATTTCAAATTTCACAGCGTTTTGTTGTTGAATCCTTCCTTTCTTCTCCCCATTGTTAAAAGCCCTTTTGAACTTCACTTTAGCTTTTTCAAACTTTAATGGGATGTTCTGGTAATCACTTCCCAGCTTCTTGTCCTATCACATCTTTGTTGCCTCAACTTTCATATGTTCAGGAATCAAATCAAGTTAGTAGATTTTTTTAACCTCTCAAGCATGTGTGTAGTTTCTGATCTTGACCATATCAAAAAGAAGTCAACATGCACTGCAAATATACAATTTGATTTGCTTTCAAGTGACGACAGATATTATTCTGTTTAAATTTTTTAATTCCAATCTTGTTTGACTCTCTCATATAAACCCACTCCATAATAATTATAAAAATTTAATTTTTATCGACTATGATAGCTACATTTCTTGGTGATATGCAATCAAGATGTTGATCCAGCTTATAACAAGTTCAGAGTATTTGTCATATCTCCGAATAAAATGCAGTGCTTTTCGTGCTTCCCGTCTTTTCCGAAACCATGAGAACACCTGGAATTCAGCCAGGTCTTCTGTAACAAACTATCTTACATGGCGACAACTTTTGCCATTATTTTTTTTAATAGAACATTTAGATCAATTAAGATAAATTTATATAGATATTATACATTTAAAATTTAAATTTAAGATTTTGTCACTTCAAAGGTAGTGTTTGATAGCATAACTAATATTTCAGTGGAACCGGCCAGCGAGGTCACCCATTCACATCGGGCTCATACTTGCTTTGTCCCACTGAAGAGGCGAGGCCGTAGTAGGAGAAATTATTATGTGCGGATATTAGACGCAGAACGCCATCCGGAGACCAATCAAAATGTGACACGTCAATAGTACCGAACCACAGTACTGAACACAGGGGTGATGTAGCGCACTTTGGGTTGTCTCCGGACGTCGTTTGGAGTCTGCATAGAATAATTAACACCGTAGTAGAGAGATTCGAACTCGGGATAGAAGGTTGATAGTGAGATCAATCAAAATGCGACACGTCAATAGTACCGAACCACAGTACTGAACACAGGGGTGATGTAGCGCACTTTGGGTTGTCTCCGGACGTCGTTTGGAGTCTGCATAGAATAATTAACACCGTAGTAGAGAGATTCGAACTCGGGATAGAAGGTTGATAGTGAAAATTCTCCACTAATAGACCAAGAAGAGTTGCGTGCCATTAATTATTGTATTGGCTTTGTTGGGGCTTCCTTAGTTTTGAGCATCCTGAACTCTACGCATTTGGCTTGTTCCACTTATGAATCAGAAAATTACATTAAAAAGTAGTATTAAGAAACCTTTAGTGCTAACTTGACGTGTTATGTGGCTCACAGGTTTTTGAGTAATTTAATCGAGGATGATGTATATTTGGCATGTTTATCTTTGATATGTGACAACTATAGCCATTCGTGTGCATTCCTAAAAGTGCCATCAGCCCCGGGGCAATTATAATACTACCGTGGAAAAATGAATTTTACTACTAGAAGAAGAGAATGGTTATTCTCTTCTTCTTATTTTTTTTTTCTGATAATTGATGAAGAGAATGGGTTGACGGGTTGAGTTTTGGGCCAACCTAAAACATCAATTCTAATCCGACTTACTAATAATCCGAATGATTCAAACTTGATCAGTTATACCATTTTGATTAAAAATATTAAATTTATGAATTATAAAATTTAAGATATTTAATTAAAAATAGAAAAATATTCGTACAGATGAAAAATAATTAAAAAAAGATTAAACAAGTCATTTTCATCCAAAAAATGAATTGGGTTTGGGTCACGTTGAGGAGTCAGGTCATTTATTAACATATCTAATTATTTATTATGATCAATAATATTAAAATTATACGTTTATGATATTTGATTTAAAACAAGAAGATTATACCTAAATATAAAAAAAAATATATTAAAAATGTTATTTTCAGCCCAAAAATGAGTTCGTGGGTCAACCTGATTTGATCTGGTTAAATTGGTTGGAAAAGTTAACATGAATCAAACATATTTATTAAACAGGTCAACTCGAACTTGGATTTTACAAGTTAGGTTTCGGTTAGATTGATGAATCAAGTCATTTATTTACACCCCTAATTATTGAATATGATCAATAATATAAAAATTATGTGGGATGATGTTTGTTTTCTCAATGTTTTCTTGGTTACCTTGTGGTGGGTGTTTTGGGCCTATGTTGGTTGCTAGTACTGTGATGATTTTATGATCCTGCTTGAATTGCTGTGTTTCTTTGGGGACTGTTGTTTGTCTTTTTTTCTAGGGTTGCATGGCCTATTGTTGTTGTCATCATTGAGGAGGGCTCCTTGTTGGCTCTGCTTGTAGCTTGGTGGATTTTGTTTCTTTCATTTATTGCAGGTTTCTTTTTCTAATCTCTTCCTACATGTTGGTTGGTTTGTTCGTCTGCCTCCTATAGTATGTGAATATACTTTTTCCTACTGTTTATCGCCCCAACTTGTTCTTTTGTTAGTTTTCTTTTTCTTTCCTTTGTTTATTCTCTTAGGTTTTACTTCAAATGTAGTATTTTTAGTAAGCTTTAGGATCTCTTAAGGGCGTGTAACATCCTTTTTATTTAACGTGTAGACCCCTATGAGAAATTTATATATATATATGGATTGATTTTCTTTAATTTTGATGTTGATTTAATGATGCAACAAGTATACCAAGAATAAAAGGATGATCAGTTACATGCATTATTAATAGTTTAAAATTTTTAAATATATTTATATATTTTGTCAATCAAATTATTCAAGATAATATAAGATATATATTATCAAGAACTCATGTATTTTTTCCTTAACTTATTTGAAAGTTCGAACTTTTGAAAGTGTTATTATCCATTGTGAAAATTTTTATGTGCTAGATTAACAATTAAAGAATTTTTTATCTGATTCATACATATCATTGGATATGAATGAATTTATTCATGTCAAAACTTTGGGAGAGTGCTACGTCGACTTTTATATGAAAAATGATAACTGTTTATGCGATTAAATTTTAATATTATTTTATTTAAATAAAATTAAGTCTGCTGGTGCTGATCTATGGCCTAAAAAAACTTAAAATTTATGCTTATTTTTCATCATACAATATTTAATTATGAGAAGACTAGTTATCACTGTTGAAATAGTACGATGTCAAATATATTTAAATTTAAAAAAAGCTTGATCATATAATAAACTCTCAAAATTATTATTCTAATGAAGATAAAATTTCAACAATTCTAAAATATTGGAGTACTCAAATTAAATTAAAAATATTTAAATTTGTTTATATATATAATGATACGTCATCATGAAATTATCTTGATCGTGCATGAACTTGACGCAAAAATCAAGTTGGAAACTTCAAAAATTAAATCCAAGAGCACCTGAACTTTGATTTCAGCGAACTTATAATCAAACTGAGCGTCTCGGAAATACAAACCCAGCGACACCAAATTCAACTCGATTCGAGCCCAAATGAGCCCAAATCAAGCACCCGAAGTGCTGTTGGAAAGCTTGTACCACAATTTGAGTTAACAAACGGTCTCCGATTTTAACGAGCTTATAGTCAAATCGAACGGCTCGACGAGACAAATCCAACGAGCCCAAGATCATCGAATTCCATCATCATTAAGTCATTCAAATGTCTAACGAATGATGCACGATCAAGGGATTCAATATCAGCTGCTATTCAACTACTCCCTATTTAACCCTGATCTCATGCCTATTTGCGAGCTATGTCACTCCAGAAAAACTATAAATAGTGCCCTCATTCTTCATAAGAGAGGACCCAAGCAAGAGAGAGAATAAGAGAAGAAGAAGAGAAGAAGAGAAGGTGAATCAACTCCTCCTCGACCACCGCCGGAGTTCTTTCCGCCGCCTGAATACGCCGGAACTCTGCCGGATATTCAGGAGATGCCGGAATTCTGCAGAACTTTGTAAACTTCATTTCAATTTAGAAGAGATTGATTGTAATCTGATCGTCTTAACTTGTGGGACGAATCAACCTTTGTACCTCAAACAAATACTAGTGGAATTATTTCAACAGAGAGAGAGAGAGAGAGAGAGAGTAAGGGCACAAATTTATTATATTAAAAATACTATCAATATTTTTTAGTAATATTTATAACCTTAGAAACTAAAATTATAAAAAATAAATAATTAGTTTTTTTTATTATATTGATGCAAGAAAAATATATTATTTGTAAAGATAAATTAAAATTTTGCAATTTGTCTCTCACATCTTTTTCTTTCTTCAACTTTGATTTACAATATCTAGTCAGATCTATAAGTTTATAAACATCAATGAATTTGAAAGATAGAGTGAAACAATTATTACTTTGTGAAAGTTGGTGTTGTGTCCTAAAATATTCACCGCGGTAGAGAGATATAAAATTTAACGTCTTAGTTTTGTACGAAAATCCTGCACACAAACTGATAAGAGAGTAGTGGTGTAGCGTTTATAAGAGACGTCAAAAATTTTACTTGAAAAAGCCTGAAAATGGGGAAAACCATCGGCCTATCACAATTTGAATGAATGCACTACTATTAATGATTGGTTACAAATAATAACTTTCCTCGGAAGAGGGTGCTGGCTAAATATAGCAAATATACAATATATATATATGAGTAGTTTTTCTTATATGAGGGTTGACATATCTGTTTAGTCAGCAGGACTATATAGTAGTTGTTTTTATAGAGGTTTGGAGGGACTGTAATCAGTGGGTGATAGTGGATGGAAGGACCGTAGTCATCAGACAACGGTGGTTGGTGTGGACCGTTGTTGACAGGCGACAGTGATAGGAGGGACCATAGTCAGCATGCGATTATGGTTGGAAGGATCGTAGTCGATGGGTAACGGTGATTAGAAGGACCGTAGGCAGAGGGCGACGGTGCTCGGAGTGAATAGTAGTTAGTAGGTAATGGTGGTCGGAGTGGAACGTAGTCATCGAGTGATGATGAATGGAGTGGTTCGTAGTCAGCGTACGATAACGGTCGAAAGGACCGTAGTCAGAAGCAACGATGGTTGAAGTGGACCGTAGTTGGTGGGAGAGTGGTCAAAAGGATTATAGTCAGTGGATGATGGTGGTCAAACTGAACCATAGTCGATAGATGACAATAGTCTGAAGGAACATAGTATGCGAGAAACGGTGGTAAGAAGGACAATAATCGGGCGAAGGTGGTTTGAAGAATCG